AATTGCCCATGGTGGGACTCGATCCCACGACCACAAGGTTAAGAGCCTTGCACTCTACCAACTGAGTGTTTAAAATTATTTTGAAAGGTATGATTTTTTCTTTTGATCATTTTAATATGATTATAAGGTAATGTTTGTGTTCGATTTTAAATCTGGATAAATTTACCTAGGGGCAACAATATTTCTTTTATCATTGAAACCTCTCTTGTTAGGTTTAGATGAATAAAAAATATTTTTTTAAAATGGTTTTTATTAATATTTTAATCTAATGAAAATATAAGGATTAAATGTTGGATTTGAGCACAATTTAAGAATTATTTTGACTTTTAATGCTAAATTTTATCAGAAACTACAATATATAAGATTCCAATGAATAAATTCTATTATGCACTACAAAATCGTTGTAAAAAAATTCCCCTTTTTTCATAAATCACTAAAATTATTAATTTTCAATTAAATGTTTTAATAAACTATCTACTCTTCTAACTAGAATTACTATACTAATATATTTTAAATTTAATCATACTATTGATATCTCATTTTATAAAAATTAGCTAAACCTATTCTTATATGTAATGGGGTATGTAGGGATGGCAATGGGTCGGGTCGGGTCGGGTTTTTGGGCCACCCGACCCGACCCGAGAAGAAAGGGTTTTTCACCCGTGACCCGACCCGACAAAATTAAGGTTTCACCCGACCCGGCCCGAATATATGACTTAGAAACCCGACCCGACCCGAAATAATAATAAAAAAAAATTTATTCAATGAAAACAGTGACTTAATTGAAAAAAATTATATATGGAGGGACATTATTGTAATTATCCCTAAATATATAGGATAAAATTATATATATTTTTCGGGTTGGGTCGGGTCGGATTTTTTTCACCCTAAACCCGACCCGACCCGACCCGAACAGTACATTTAAAAAAAACCCGACCCGACCCGAACCCGAATTTTTTTTAAAAAAATCCGACCCGATCGGGTCGGGTCGGAACCCGTCGGATTCGGGTTGAGTTGCCATCCCTAGGGGTATGGGAGAGGTAGGGTAGTAGGCTGCCCCCAACGCCAGGTTGAGAGCAGCTTCCGTGGAAAACCTCCGGTAGTCAGAATTATGAATTGCCCACCATGAGACTCGATCCCACAACCACAAAATTAAGAGTCTTGCGCTCTACCAACTCGATCCCACGATGGGACTCGATCTCATTTTATATATATGTAAAAGTATGACATCCAACTATTCAATTAATTAAATGAAAAGAACTAAAAATTTATTCATTTTTCTAGTTTGACTTTTTTATTAATTGATTCCACCTGCTTTGTTGAAATTGTGTTTTGAATGATTGAACCTATTTTTTTTAATCATTAATATTTAATTTATTGATCGACAATTCAAATTACGTACTGTAGTAATTTATTATGAGAACAATCCTTCTAAGTTAAATTATTCTATTAATAATGTTAAAAATTTAAATTCTTAAATTCCATTTAAAGGATATAATATATTATATGATAAAATCAAGTGGTTATTAGTTGGACTTAGTTTTAATTGTTTCTTTGTCCAAACAAACAATTTTCAGACAAGAATTAGATATGTCTTTAAGAGATGAGATTGGGATGGGAGCATATGCTTCATGCTATCTGTTAAGGCTCTTTATGGACAGTTAATTGTATCGTTTGGTCTAAACAGTCAGTTAACAGTTATAACGGTTATGATATTTTTCTAACCGTTAAGAAACGGTTAACATCCAATGGTTAACCATATTATTAAAGGTTCGGTTACAGGTTAATCTACTGTTAATCTATTACAATTTTTTTATCAATTTTTTTTCATAATTCATATTACAAATATCTTAGTACCTAACAATAAACATATAATTATATTGGTGTAAGAATATTTCTATATTTTTAAAGAAATAAAAATTAAAAATGATATATATATTATATTTATTTGTATACAAATTTTATTAAATATATATATATATATATTATAAATAATATAAAACTATATTAAGTTATTTGTGTAAAATTATAATAAATTAGAAATATAATTAAAAATTTAATTTTCTAGTGGTTAACCGTTGATTAACCGTTTATCAAAATTTATAACCGTAACTTTAACCGTTAACCATCATTTTTAGCGGTTCAGTTAACAGAAACCATTTAATATTAACGATTCGATTAATTGACCTGTTAAATATAATGATTATACTGGTTAACGGTTACAGTTAACAATTTCGGGTTTTTTTAACACCCTTACTATCTGTTCATTGTGGTTCTTCTTTCTCATTTCATATTTTTCAACGAAAAGAATGTACCATTCATTTTCATCCCCAATAAATAATTTATTTAATTTAGGGTTTTTTTCCTGATATTTTTCATCCAATAGTAAATAGTAATACGTTAGTGTGAATTTATCTAAGTAAAAAACAAGACAAATATTACCATTAGGCTGTAAAAGAAAGTTAAAAAATGATTTTTTTAAAGTAATTCTACAATACTTGCAATTATATTTAAATAAAACAATTTATTAATACATAATAATTAGAATCAACCAAAAATATCTAACTTTATTTTAAAAAAATAATAATTTGATCTTAAATTAGGTTAGGTTGATGCTATATCAAGGAAACTAAAATTAGGTTATAAGTAAACTTCCTTGAAAATGCATCTTGTATTTTTTTTTGAATTAATCACTGATATCCGATCTATTGACCGACTAATCTATATCGGGTACTGCAGAGGCAAGGGCGACCCTCCCAACCCAGTTTGCTCCATTCACAAACGCCAGGATTCGAACCCTGACCTTGCTTAAGGGACCTAGTGCCCCATCCCACTAGACAATAGTTTAATTAAATTTAACCCTAGCTTTTTGTTGGTTCCAAAATTGATTATGTCCTCAATTTTTATGATTAATCACATTTTAGTTTCCTATTAATATTGAAAATTTGCAAATCAAGTTCTAGCCTTCGCATTTTGTTGGTGTCCAAAATTGATTATGTCCCTATAAATTTTAAAATTAAAGCAAATTTAACCCTAGCTTTTTAGTTTAAATATTTTTATATCCCTGTTAGTTTTGAAATCAAACAATTTGATCCCTTTATCATTAAACTATTAAAAGAGAGAATGATAGTGAAGAGATGATATTGATGAAGGTAAGAAGAAAATTTCAAAGGAAAATATAAGCAAATTTGAGACTTTGTGATTCGATGCTTTGGTCAAGCACTCAAATCAGCCGTCCAGTTCCAGTTCTTCAATCAATTTTCAAAACTAAAGCACAAATTAAAAGCATCCAATTTTCTTTGACTTGGTCTTGAGAATTAGGACCCTTCTTTGTTTTATTATTTTGTCCTAAAACTAGGGGATAGTATCCAATCGAGGTCAAGTAAAAAAATTCGAGTTAGTCGAGTTGAGTAGTCTTATTTTATGATTAAAATTATATTTAAATTTTATTTTGAATTGAATCGAGTTTATGAAATTCAATTTGAGTTGTCTGACTCTTTAAATTTAATTGTAACTTTTTATAATATTATGATACACATTGAAATTTAAACGATTTTCTCTAACCATATAATACAAATTGAAAATTAAAATATCTATACAAAACCAACGCATTATAAAATTTTTTAAAAAAAAAAATTAAAAATATCTATGCATAATTAACATTAGTTGAGATTTGAATATGAATTGTGGTGACTTCATCTTTGCATTTTAATAAAATTTTGGTGCTTAATTTCCAACTTCTTTATTGTCCTTTCTATTCACCATTCAATTCAATTACATCACCTTTGTACTTTTATTATTTATTTTTTAAGTCATTAGAAAAACAAGTCTTTGAAAACCCATTTCTTTTCTCTATGATGTAATGTCATGTCATCCCCTTCCATTACTACAAAAATTGATTTTTAAGTAATTAAAACTAATCAAGTAATAGTAAATTATGAAACAAATTTCTCACTTTTGAAGCAATAAAATCCTAAAAAAATTACAAAATGAGCACACTAAACTCAAAAGGTTTATAAACCAATAATTTCTTCTAACTTATTTAAGGGTAAATTAAAAATTTAATCGTTCACTTTCGACATTTTTTGTTTTGATCATTAAATTTTTAAATTTGATGACTTAACATTGACATTGTTTCATTTTCAGTCACTCTGTTATTAAATAATTAAGGGTGCTATGATATGGCATATGTATTTTAAAGATGATGGGAAAAAAACCCAAAACTTTCTTTTAAATTTGTGATAATACCTTGAAATATTCCTTCCGAAAATTTTAATCTGGTTTTTTTAAATTTTCTTTGATTTTGCGATGTTGTAGAATCTTTTTCGAAATCCCAAAGGTGGAGAGGGAGGAGTCAAACAATATATCATGATTATATGATGATCGAAAAATGAGTATCGTAGATCAGAGACATTTTCCTCTGGGTTTTCTGTTGAAGTTTCATGAGTTTTAAAGAGAGTTTGGGAAACTGTAAACTAATTGAGTAGTAGGGAACGATGAATCAAGTTCTTAGATGTCTGAGGTGACTAGAGAAGATATCATAGAACATCAATTTCAGCAACATCGTGACATGAAGATGAAACTCTAAGATCAATTTTAAAGTTTTTGGGAAGATGATGAAATATAATAATAAAAAAAAAGATAAATCTAACGTCAACAAAACAGAACCCGCATCAATTTATTGTTTCTGATTTAACTCCGAGTGACAAAAAATAAAGCAATATCAAAGTTGAACTACATGATCAATTTTTTTTAAAAAAAAATTAATGAAAGAAAAACAAGAATATAATCAAAGTTGAGTGATGCAAAGCATAGTTTACCCTTTAATTAATTACAAGATTAATTTAAAGAGAATCAAACCCTTGGATCCCAAGTGGGGTAGGAGTCTAGCAACTCCTCCCAAAAGCCAAAATTCCTACCAATTAGTTGATATATGCCCCCCCCCCCCCCTCTCTATTATATAAACATGTGTGTGTATATAACTTGAACTACAACCACAAAATTGCTTAATCCCATCATAAATCTTTGCAACCTTCTTGTATATTTTTCATCACATTACTTAGAGCCACATATTCTAGATAAACACAATAAAGAATGACCATGGTTTGTTCTTTTTTTTTCTTTTTCCCTAATGATATATTAATGATTATTTGTTATCATCCTATTATTTATCTTTGTTTTTTTTCGATTTTTTCAGGATCTCGAAAACGGAATTATTCGATACGACGAGGTTAGTCCAGTGACATCTCTAATTCTTGGATGTATGTATGTATATTCAGTTTTTGAAATGATGTTCTTAAATAATTTTGTAGGAATATATCTTGAGTTCCCGAGGTCTAAAGCTATTTACATGCAAATGGGTTCCGGTGAAGGAAGAACCCAAAGGTTTAATCTTCATCTGCCATGGTTATGCCATGGAATGCAGCATCACCATGAACTGTAAGTATATATCTCTATGTTATTTGGACTCAGGTGTGAGTATCGATACTTCAGATGTCGAACACGGATGATTAAATAAAAAAATATTGAAGAGTTGAAGTGATACATAATTGATTATGATTGATTTTCACTTTGCAGCAACTGCAATTCGGTTGGTGAAAGCTGGATTTGCAGTTTATGGAATAGATTATGAAGGCCATGGGAAGTCATCTGGTCTGCAAGGCTATATCTCAAGCTTTGACAATGTTGTTGATGATTGCTCCAATTTTTTCACTCAAATATGTGGTAATTTTTCAACTTGTTATTTATTAGGGTAAATTACACATTTAGTAAAGCTAAACTTTTAATTTTTTCAAACCCACGCTTAGTGTTTAGTTTTCATTTCATTTTGGTATATTGCCATTAAAAACTTAACGCGCTTAGTACCTAAACTACTCGTTTTGGTCCGTTTTAGTACCTAAACTTTCAATTTTTTCAAAACTTAACATTAAATTTTGAATGGCTACAGTTTTTTAACGGCGGGTACTAAAATGAAATAAAAACTAAATTTTAGGTATGACTCTGAAAAAATTAAAAGTTTAAGTACTAAAATGGGCTAAAACTGCTAGTTTAAGTACAAAAAAACGTAATTTACCCTATTTATTCTTGTTATTATTATAATTGATTTTCATGTAATTTATGAATTGAGGTAATCTTACTCCTGATTTAAACTCATTCAAATGTATATATATTTTAGGTATATTGTCAAAAAAATACTTTCAATGTTTGATTAATACTCATTTTGACATTTTTTTTAGTATTTTGGTGTCTAATATTTTATTTTAGGACAAAAAGGCCCTTAACAGTTGATGAAATAGTCACTTTAACCCCTATATTTTAAAGCATTTTGGCTCCTAACATTTCATTGGAGGACAAAAAGCTCTTATTTTGGACCGTTAAACGTTTGTCGGCTAACAGTTTTCATCTTCGGAGGGACATTTTTACCCCTATTATTCCGTTAATGATTTATTTCATTAAATTTGTATGGAATATTCAGAGAAGAAAGAGAACAAAAGGAAGATGAGGATATTGTTAGGGGAATCAATGGGGGGAGCAGTGTTGTTGATGATACATAGGAAAATGCCTGAATATTGGGATGGGGCAGTCCTTGTTGCCCCCATGTGTAAGGTAATCTATCTCACCCTTATTAAATACACTAAAAAATTAATATGTATAAGAATATAAAATATTGATTTAACAAAAGTTTTATTCACAGATTGCAGATGAAATGAAACCACATCCTCTAGTCATAAGTGCTTTGGAAAAGCTCTGCAATTTTATACCGACTTGGAGAATAATTCCAAGCCAAGATGTCATTGACGCTGCTTTCAAAAGGCCTGAGATAAGGGCTCAGGTATTTACCGACGCCTTCTACCGACACTTTTCGAGTCGATTTATAGCGGCGGTCTTCTTTTACCGGCACTTTAAGTTTAATATCAACATATCATGTCTAGTATACCGATGGAGTACAACGTCGATAAGTATACGATGGAGTCGTACTCGTACATTTCTATTTAGATATATCTTACCGGCGAAGTTGTCAGTAAAAGTAAAAATTGAATTAATACTGACATAACAATTCATAAATCGATGGCGATAACATCAGTGACACATTTGATTGTCACTATAGATCATTAATCAAATTCGGATTTATGTTTTGTCGATAGAGGTCTATACCGACGAGGGTTTAAATATTTTATTTTAATGTCACTAAAAGTTATTGACTTTTTTTATACTATTTTTACTGATTGCTAATGTTAATTAAGTTTTTTTCCATAAAAAATGTTAATTAAGTTAATTGATTACAGATTAGAGCAAATCCATATTGCTACAAAGGTCGTCCTCGTTTGAACACAGGCAATGAACTTTTAAAGATGAGCATTGAGGTGGAACATAGACTTAATGAGGTTAGTTAACCATTGCCTTATAAATAGTGACGATATTCACCTGACACTTCAACTATTAAGTACATGTGGAGATGTCACGTAAGTAACATTAGTTGACTGCAGTCAACTAACGTTTTTCTTCCAGCATGAGTAATTTGACAAAAAATGAAACGCTAGAGGTTAAAATACTTCAAATAAATAAAAAGAACTTAAATAATCATTAGCGTGAACGTTAAGAACTTATTTTGACATTATATATTTGATTTTTGTTAATCTTATTAGACAAAACACGTGACGGTTTCTTAATTTGATTAATAGGTGTCATTACCGTTTATAATTCTTCACGGAGAAGATGATAAAGTAACGGATAAAACAGTAAGCCAACAACTGTACGACGTCGCATCAAGTTCAAACAAGACATTGAAGCTCTATCCTGGGATGTGGCATGGACTGTTATACGGTGAAACACCAAAAAACATCGAAATCGTGTTTTCAGACATCACCGAATGGTTAAACCAGAGAGTTGGACCTGGAAGTTCGAGGCTTGAGAGGGAATTGAAGCATCAAACGACGAGGTTTTTATTTCAAAAGACATTAAATAAATATGTTTTCTGAGCACTGCCAAAAGCTCTTTCCTTTTGTTGGCTCAAAATTCCATATGAATGGCCCGTCGTTCAGGTTTAAATAGTGACTTTGCAATGTGATTTTAATGTTTATATGTGGCTTTTGTACATTTAAATTAATCAAATTGGGTTCGAACTAAACCAAATTAGGTCAAATTAATTAAATAAGATTAATAGTAGATACTCCATTTTCAAGTTTAGTCCTTTAAGTTCTTTAATTTTCATAATTTGACACTTCAGGATAGAGAAAGATTTAATTAATCACTTAGTCTAATTAGGTTCAATAAATACACTGTTTGATTGCATTCTTATTTCAAAACTAAGGCAATGCTCATTTACCAATGAGTTAATAGCGTATTCTTTGCATTATGCTCAGAGGGTCACCGTTGGTAATTCCCGAAGTAGATGAACATCATTTTCAAAACCCTATATAATAATTTTTTGAACTTTAAGGCAATGTTCGCCTATGTAGATCAATAATGAAGCTTTCACATTACATGATCAAGAGTGGTCGTTATTGGTCTTAGTAGACCAACATCATTTTCCAAATATGGCATCCATAATGATTTTTAAATTAAATAAGATCTTGAACTCAAAAGTTTTGATTTTAAATATAGGGTAATCAACTATAGAAACCAATTTTTGGGCTCTGTGGGGGTGTTAATCCTTCCCCATGCATAACTAACTTCCGAACCCGATTTTTGGTTTTCGCAGACAAAATTTGGTATTTTTGAAAAAAATTATGTGTTCCAATCGCACCATAAAATGATTGGTGAAGACTCCCAACACTTCACAAAAACCTTTTCAAAGAAAAACCCCTAAGTCGAACTAGTTTTTTTATCCCCACCCGGGCAAAAAACGATGTCGACAAGTACTGACGTGGTACTTTACAGAACTGATGTGACAATCCATGATGGCTAGTGACGTGGCAGATGATATGACAAATGAGCTAAATTTTTTTCTTCATTGAGTTCTAGGGCCAAATTGATTTTTTTCTAAAAGATTATGTGATTTTTTTATTTTTTTTTTTAAAAAAAAATATTTCTAATTTGAAATACAAAATTATTCAAAATATTAAATATCAAAAATATCAAAAATAAAAATAAAATTACTAAAAATAAAAAAATATATTATTATATTTTGCCTCAAATTTAACCTGATTTTTATTTATATAATCCATCCATAAATTTTATTTATACATATTTACCTTTAACTATCTTGTTGAACTTATATTTTGATATAAAAAATATTTTTAAAATTGATTTTACACTTAATCAAATATTTTAAAAATAATTCAAAGTCCAAAATATCTTGAAAAATATGTTTTCTAAATTGTTTTATATATGTGAAATGCTTTTGAGTTAATTAAAATATGTTTAAAGTGTTTAAAATGTGTTTAAAACTTTTTAAAATATGAAAAATACTATTTAGTCACTATTTGACATTGTTCATGACATTGTTCATACATGGGTAATGTTCATAGGTTTGAAACTTTTGTAAGAGTTTTGAAAACTTTCCCCTGAAATTGTTTTAACGGCTTGATTTTCTTCAACGGTCATGATTTTAAGTAAGAGTTTCGAAACTTTCACTAAATTTTAAAACTTTCAAAAATAGTGTGTTTAGAAGTTTTGATACTTTCACAATAGTTTCGAAACTTGCTCCAAAGTTTCAAAATTTCATGTGCAGGTGACCTTAAGTGCATATTTTTTAAAGCTTCCAACGACTATGACTCATCCCCAACGTTCATAAATAGCTAGCAACCCATTCCACACAATAAAAACACTTTAAGGACACTTGAAGAAGGTGACCACACCTATCCAAGCTTAGAGATCAAGAGAAAAGAGTTTCATTCCTATTTCATTCATTTTCTCTTATACATAAGTGTATTGAGCTTATTGTTTATCTTTTTAATTCATTCTTTGTGAGATTAATTCTCGTAAAAACCTACCTAGAGAGGTATTCTTGTTTAAAATCAAACCTTGTAAAGAGGGGATAGGTTCTAGTTTAGCCTTTGGAAAAACTAGAGAATTGTAAATGTTACACCTTATCCTTGAAAGGTAAGAAGGAATTAGTGAATTTGTTAGAAAATCCTTAGTATGGAGCTAAGGTATTGGATGTAGACTTTGTTGAGAAGTTGAATTACTATAAATCATTGTGACAATTTCTCTATCTTTTATTACTTCCACACCAAAGTTTTTTAAAGTCCAATCCACCCCCTCTTGACGGTTTTCTGTTGATCGATGGAGCCTAACATATCTTAAACTCTAAATATCTTTCTAATTCGATTTTATATAAAAAGAAACATAAAGATTTTATATGCATAATGATCACACAATAAAAGAAACATCAATATTTTATATAAAAAAATATTTTTGAAAAAAATTATTAGCAGAAAAAAAGAAAAATCACTAATATAGAAATAATAAGAATATTAAAAAAATCTTATGAATAACCTAATTTTTGGTATCCATTTGTTGAGAACTTGAGATAATTACTTAATTATAAAGAAAACTAATCATAATTAATATTGAAAATTGAACATATTTTTTGAACCAACTTACTTAAATGGTTAAAGGAATCATTGTTGTTCGTAGAGGTCATTGGTTCGAGCACCAATGACTGCAGTAGGGTGATTGAGCATTCATTGTCAAATGGTTGAAGAGCATTTAGAACAAATAATACTTTGTAATTACCTTAATTTAATAACAAAAATTGAACATATTTTTTTTCACTTTTAATCGAACTAGATTTTCTACTTTTTTCAATTTTCTCTTAATTTATATCTATTTTAATTAAGTCAAATCAAGTTCGAGTCAAACTCTAATAACTTTCATCTTAACACGAATATTCTTTAATAATTACTATCAACCGAATTCAATCCTTGCCCAAGCTTAAATATGCGAGATAGTTTAGTCTTCAAATCAATAAAATCATCATAAGTATCAATTTTATTTATATATGAATTACCACAAACAATATTGTACATAACACCTCATCAATGATAATTATATCTTTAACCATTCATAACGTCCTAGTAGACCCGTTTATGAGATTTTGGTGGCCCTCGGAGGAACCAAAAAATCAGGCCCCTAATCAGGGATTTAAATTACAATTTTCATTTGTTTCTTGGACCACATTGTGTTTATCACTATTTACGGACCTAATAGATGATATTGTGGTTACTACAAGTATCATGACTGTGAATTTTTAATAAATATGCTATCATGGACATAACAATTGTGGATATTGTTGTTTCATACGAAGTCGTTACCACTGCATAACGGTCATTGTTTTAGTTACAAACCATTATTTAAATAATTGTTCCTAATGACAAGTGTGAAAAAATAAATTTTAAGAGTACTCATAATAACAAATATTGAAAAAAATTAGACATATAATAAAAAGTATTGAAAAAATTAGACTCATAATAACAAATAAATATTAGAAAATAAATTCAATTTTAAAAGTATGCCCCTAATAATAAATATTGAAAAAATTGGATCCTTGATAATAAGTATTGATAAAAATTGGACCTTTTATTGAAAAAAATTGGACATTTTATTGAAAAAAAATTGGACCTATAATGATAAATGTTAAAAAAGTTTGGCAAAAAAAAATGGACACTTAAAAATATTAGAAAAATAAATTATAAGAGTAAACCTCTAATAATAAATATTAAAAAATTAAACCCATACTAATAAATTTTAGAGAAAAAAATGAACCTTTAGTGACAAATATTAAAAATGATTAGATTCTATAATTGACATAAAACTATTTTTTTTATTATAAATATAGTATAAATTATAAAAATTCTAAACCCTAAACAGGTGTCTCTTCTGTCCAGACGCATATACGAGGTTGTGTCCTAGCTTCATTAAATCTCTACGTAGGTCTAGTTTATTTTTAATGCTTATTCCTAACAGTATAATACTGTAAGAAAATAATCATTTCTTAAACAACAACGATTAATGCAAAAAAAATATTTTATAAAATTACTTTTAAAATGTTTTTAAGTGGACATTGTCAGACACGTAATTTTCCATCAAAGCTTTTTCTTAAAGAAAAACATTGTATATTCCAAAAAATAGGACAATGCTTTTCTCGGGAGGCTTGTTTTGTCGGTTCAAATTACTTGTCTTCCTCCTGTCACACGACTATATGATTGGACTATTTTTCTTTACAAATATAATCAACTATATAAGAGTAAAAGTAATTAAAAACATATGATTTCATATACTTGAATATATGCAAGGGTATAATATATAACTGCTCACTCGATTACAGGGCGCGGTTAGGTTGTCGGGATCTTGTGTAAATTCTTATAAAAGGATTTTTATTTTTTAGATATATTTAATTTCGGGGCCTCTATTTTTATATTTCTTAATGGCAACAACTGATAGATATACTCGATTTTGGAGCCCCTATTTTTATACTTCTTAATGAAAATAACTGATAGATATACTCAATTTCGGCCCCCTATTTTTATGCTTATTAATGGCAACAACTGATATATATACTCGATTTCGAGGCCCTTTCGAGACCCCTATTTTTTGGGGCCCTGCGCGGTCGCCTACCTTACACACCCTCAGCCACGCCCCTGCTCGATTATAAGATATTATTTTATTAAGTCTTTTAACTATTAAAATATATAAAACAGTCCTTCATTTATAGAGTGTTATTTTATTGAGTCACTCGACTATTAAAGCTTATAAAATAGTCACTCAATTATTCACTATAAAAGTTAACACGGTGATTGTGATATGATAAAATCCGATCACATAATCTCAAACGACTATCATATCTCAGTCATAGTATTAACGTCAAACTTAGACAATCGCCAATTTTTTAACGGAAAATGACGAGTTTGGAACATAATGAATAGTGGGGTGACCATTTTGTAACTTTTAATAGTCGATGAACTTAACAAAGTAACATTCTATAGTCGGTGATTATTTTATAACTTTTAATAATCGAGGGACTTAAAAAAGTAGTATCCTATAGTCGGGGAATATTTGTGTACTTTACCCTATATTTATTAGGTTGACATTTAAAAATATACAAACTTTGAGAGTAAATTATTAACATAATTCATTAAATTTGAAAAGTAATATTTTGATTATTTATATTTAGAGATAACAATTTAACTTAAATTTGATATATTTTAACCTAGTTTATCTTATAAGGTTATTTTTTTATCACTTTATATCTATATAAATGTAAAAATTTATTTTAAACAATTTTATGTATAAAAATGGATGAACTTTTTAATTAAATATTTATTTTACTAAATTTCTATTTTGATTTTTAAATTAAGATAATGTTTGGTGAATTTTTTTTATTAAATATGCTGTATTTTATATTTATTTTCTTAAACTAATGTTACCATGCCATCTCATCCAAGCTCTGGTTTGTACTATATTGGCAATCTTGTAAGATTATGCAATCTCACAAAAGATAAGGCCACTCAAATATCTATGGCTTACTCAAATATCTACAATTAATTCCATTATTTTCTTCAATTTAAAATTAATTAATTAATTAAATTAAATTTATATTATTAAAATTCGATTCAACTCAAATTAAATCAAATGTTCACTCTATGAATAGGAATAAAGTTTCTTTCCTGTCACTACTCTTGTCTTAAGTGTAAATTCCAAAATATTCATTCACCTTCACATGCATTAATGGAGTACGAAAATTCACGACTCTCACCAACGCTGCTCAGGTCCACGGAGTCCCCACTATTTTGCCTTTTTTATTTAAAATTAAAAAATTAAAATTATATATTTATTTTTAAAAAACAGAAAACACAAATTTTGAAATAAACCTAAAACTTTGGAAGCCTTCATTTCAACCCCTAAACCCACACCGATCGTCGCCTTTTGCCGTCAACGAGCCTCCACCCGACCTCCCCTCCCCCCGACGACCAAAATCCCCATTAAATCGTGACCGATCGACGACGAATCAAAGTTTTAAATCGTTTTAATTCGCGATTCTAACGTTCGAAAGAAAAGACAACGACATATGAGTAGGAGGATGGCATGGATTACGTCGGTGGCGATGGTCGGAAAGGCAACGACGATGGATTAAGGTTTGAATTTGGGATTTTGGGACTATTTTATAATATAAGGAAAGTTAGTTTTTTTAATATAAATATCATATTTTTAATATTTATTTTAAAAAATAAATTTCAAAATACCAGATTGTGACACGTGTCACTTCACAGTAGAAATTAATGTCGTTGACGGCCTGGGTACCTAAACGGGTAACGGTTGTAACGTTAGCCACCTAGATGAGACGAAAATTAGTTTAGGCACCTATTTGGGTTTTAGGATATAGTTTGGGCACTTATTTTGGTATTAAGCCTTAATATTTTTTTATCAATATGAGGTAAGTACAATACAATATTAATTTAAAGATAACTCTCGATCATTTGACAATGAACGCTCACACCATTAATATTCATGATGCTCGAACTCGAGACTTCAAAGAATAACAATAATTCATTTACCACCGATGTCACTTGGTTCGTGCCTTTCATTAATATTAATGTAAAGACTTAATGACTATTTTTTCTCTGTAGTAAACTTAATTTATTATTTTTTCTCATATGGTATTTTTACATCAATTTAGCTTTCGAAGTTGTTTAATTGCATATATCATCCTAAACTAGGGGTGCTTAATGAGTTGAACAACTCGTGACCAGCTCGAACTCGAATCGGTCACAGCTCGGTAAAAACTAGACTCGGGTTGACTCGACTCAAACTCGAGCTCGATTCGAGACCTTAACGAGTTGAGTCGAGCAAATTCTAGCTCGACTCGATAAGTTTGCGAGCAACTCGTTAATTTTTTAATATAATTCTTTTAGTAGTTATGTTAAAAAATTATTTCTTTAAAAAATTACTAATTTACTAACAGATAATAAAATATATAAATTGCTAATCTATTAATTTTTTTAATAAACAACAAAGAATATTAAATTATTAATTAATTTTACTACACTCAAAAAATCAAATTTTATATATTATTTTAATGTCTTTGTGGATTGTTATTTTAGAATTTAGACTTTGAAATTACTTCATACATTCTTTTGATAATTTTTTCGGTTAAATTTATTAATTTATGATTATATTAAGCTCTATATAGTAATAGTAGATTTTACCTATAGTTATAAGATAAAAATTTCGTTGAACTTAACGAGCATTGAGCTTAACGAACAATAAGTCAAGCAACAAATCTTCTTAACGAGCATGAGTCGAGCAAAATTTTAACGAGCTGAACGAGCAACGAGTCGAGCAACAAAACTTTTTAACAAGCATGAGTTGAGTACTGTCCAACTCGCGATCAACTCGCTCGATAAGTACCCCTATCCTAAACCCTAAACTTTAAATCCTAATCACTACTACCTAAATCTCAAATCCTAAACCTTAACTTAAAACTCTAAATAATAGTAAATATTTTAGATATTGATACAATTAAATAACTTCAAGGATTAAATTAATACGAAAAAAAAATCAAAAGGGCGAAAATGATAAATTACATTTATTAGAAGGTCAAAATAGATCAAATATTAATAATTTATAAAAATATAATATTCATATATTATATAATTACTATTAATATTCTCGAAATTCTAACAATAGTACGAGATAAGGCAAAGCCAAAATGAATTTTATACAAAGACAAAGGATGGCACAGAGACTTTCATATGTCGCCATTAGAGCCGTAACTATCCCCTTCAATTTACATACAACAAAAACATAGATACAACTGTCCAACTTCATTTACATTTATAAGATATGATACGACCACGAGTAACCTAATTATACTAAAATTACGAAAATACCCTTTTTGGTATTTTATTGCGACGATGCCGACGTGGTGTACGATTATTGGTTATTCGAATTAGGGCAACTTAAGATTTTTTTGTAGAATACTCCGTGATCTTCCGTAGTATAGAATAAGTGTAATAGGACCACTGCCACTCCAAACGTGGTCTAAAAGGAGACCGGATGGACAATGGTTTTTATTTTCGATGGGATTTAAATTACGGTCGGAGTGATGTTATTTCGGTCAAATCATGTATGATAAGATTCATTGTAGTTGAATCCGGTGAATATCGATAATGAAAAGGGTTGGGATAAGGAAATATTGACCGTAGTATTGAGTAATCACCGTTATTTAAATCCCGGATCCGACCGGTTTATTTGTCGGGATCTTTATTAGAGGAATCCGAGATCATCTTCTGGATCATCCGACTTGTCTCTTCCTCGGACATTCGGTCTTGTTTGCTCTGAGATTGTGCATAGACTTCAAAGAATTCCTTGTTTTCCTTTTCAAGCTCATTCCAAACTGTTCAAATATAATTAAAGAGTACCATGATCATATAAAGCAAAAAGTTCAAGGGAAAAATAGGTAAATGATGGACCAATAAGTTTTTTAATGAGCAGAGCAAAATTTTAACGAGCTTAACGAGCAACAGCTTTTTTTTAACAAGCACGAGTCGAACACTACTCAACTCGCGATCGACTAGCTCGATAAACACCCGTATTTACGACTTCCTCTATCCAAGACTACGACACCCTACTTCGGGTTGGTCGGAGTTTTCGGGTAGATAAGTTACGATACCCTTGGAACATCAAGTTTATCTGTTCTAAATGGATTGAAACCATGTCTTCAAACAGAATATTATTGAAGAAAAACATAAAAAAAATCAAAACCCAAAACTCGAACATTAGGGTTTGTTTCGAATTCGATTTCTGCATGCAATAAAAAGGAAACGAAATGAAACCAGCAGCGAATTCTTACCAGTGGAAGTGATGACAGGTTTGATGTTTGCATGCTTTGACAGTGCTTCCATGCACTCTTCTTTAGTCATGTTGAAGATCAAACACTTTTCTATCAGATGCTGCACCTGTTCAACAACAACATAACATAATATCACGTACATACATGCATACATACATAGAACTAAGGGCATAAGGCACATATACGAAAAGATCATAAGGAGAAAAGCAGCTCACCATGTGTATGTATGATGTTGAAGAATCCCCCATGATTAATGATGCAATGGGTGTGGGGGAGGGTGGGGGAAGAATATAAGAAAGGAAGTGTGGGGATGGGGATGGCTTGGATCCCACGTGGGAGATGGATGATAATTGGCTGAGAAGGGATTAGGGGAGATTTGTAAGTGACCATTGCTCTTGTTTTTGTAGGATTTTGGGGTTTAGGGTAATCCCCCTCCACGTGATGTGTGGGGTCCCCTAAGCCTCTCCAAACATGACAAATCCTACAACACAGTCCCAGTTGGAACACTTCAACAGTCCTAAAAAGATACGATATCCATCACGGATCTTAAAGGCCACCGTAAAATAAATTTTACCGCTGTCATATTTATTTATGCTTGACAACCATGGGAAAGCAATGGCTTTGTTGATGCAAAGATGGTTCAAAACAGGATGGAAAGTTAAAAAGGTATATGCTAGATAGAGTTGAAGAGGAGGGAAGAGAGGAGGTAGAGCTTGGTGGGATAAGGATGGCCATGAATAAGTTGTTCAAGTCAATTATAAGTGGTTCATCTCTTCTAGTTTGAATATAAATTTGTAACTAGTGACGAGATGACGATTTATAAATGATGTAAATGCTCAAAAGATTGCAAAGAGTTGAAAGAGAGATAGGGCTTGAAAGAAACATTCAGGAAGAAGGCCTTTTTCTATATGTTATAGGTACTTATATATTGATCTTTAGTGTCGTCAAATATTGGAACATAAATTGAAAGGGTGAATAAACTCAATCGTCAGAAGATCATGTGGGTTGATCAATAATTACATCATGAGATCATAATTGATTGGAGAATATAAAATTTTAAAGGTGTAACGTAGTGTGCTATACAAAAGAGGTATAACAATGGTATAAGAAGTTTCTTTGATCTTCTCCTCATAGACTCTATCTTATATATGATGATCGTCTCTAGTGTTAAATGAATGGTTGTAACATGATTAATTGAAATTAATCAAAATGTAACGGTTAGAGACAAAGGTCCTCAATAAAGTGTAATCATCTTATAGTCCTCGCCTTATATATGTCGATCATCTCCAGTCTCAAGGTATCATTTGCAGGGATGAAACTATGTTTCCTTTTGGGATCTGTAACACCCCCAACCTGTATCCGACCCGGATATGAGTTCAAGGTGTCATATTAACTTTTCAAATCCTTTACTTTTAAAAGATAGTTAAAATTTTAAATATTCATTTGTATAAAAATGGTGGAACCTTTGATCAAAAATAAATAAATGGAATTCAACTTAATTTAAAAATAGAAGTTCAATAATTTACATAAATATAAGAGTGTATGTTTACAAAAATAATCATAGCATATGCCATTCAAACCTTTAATTACATGCCAACACATTTAATACAACAAAAATGACATACTATATAAATTACTTATGATCTGATCTTCTTGTAGAGATATGTTGTCTTTACTGATCCTAACTTTGCTCTTCTTGCTTCTTTGAACCTACGTGTGAAACACTCATACGCTAAGTCGTTGATTTAGTGAGGCATATAATGCATAAATAAAACATTAAAACATGTAATCATATACTTAACATTTATAAACATTGTGGAGTACAGAAACCATCATACATTACACCAAATAAGAACATATAACATCATGCAATATTTATTCATGTTATTTCTTTTAATAGCCCACGGTACATTACTGAGAACTTAAGATATGTGAGTGCATTGAGGTTGTGCACTAATGTTGTCACAGAAGCTCGTATAAATTGCACCGAAGTGCCACATAAAAATGTCCAGAAGGACCACATTGTATTGTCCCGAAAGACAACGTGGAAATGTCCCGAAGGACCACGTAGAATTGTCCCGAAGGACTGCGTAGAACCCTCAACTCTCGGCATGCCAATTATACCTTTAGCTCTCATATCACATACTTATGGGTTTTACCATTTACACATTTCACATAGCTTATATCACATAGACATATAATCACATAGCTCATTGTCACATAGCTTATTTCACATTTTCATATCACATAGGTCAATGCCACATAGCTTATATCACCTTTTTCATGTAATCACATAGGTCAATATCATATAGCATAAAATATAAACAATGCACGTTCACATAGTAACATAGTTAAAACTATGCTTATATTCATGTAATCATGTAATCAAAACATTGGAGATAAATATATACTTAAATTTTTAAATTTTAGTTTATTTTAATTTTATTTCTTGTTTTTTTAATTATTAATTACACTTTATCTCTCTTAAGCTGATATCTTGACTCCGTCCTTAATCATCTGTCTTTGCTACTCGTGCGTCAAAGGTAAATGTACAAATGAATTTAAAGCTTAGATCTTAGTAAGGTGACATTATGGTGTGTTTTAAATCATGCTAGACGAGATATAATAGTTGAGATGAGATATGACGATTAGTAAGATTTTCTCATTAATGTATTGAAAGATCAAATATGATTAGTTGAAGTATGATCACTCGAAATTATTCAGAATTTAATATTTATATACAAATCTTCATTTTTTAACCATAATTGATCATAGGTTTTACTATGATAAATGTAATACGACAAATCCCCTTCCCCACCACCAAGCTAAAGTATCAAAGGAAAGCAATGTTGTTGTCACCAATGTTTTTCCAATTAACATGTTCCATATATATATATATATATATATATATATATATATATATATATATATATATATATATATATATATATATATATATATATATATATATATATTACTTACAATTTAGTTGATGAAAGAACAATTGAAAGGTCGGCTTGTTTCTGAGCACACAACATCTTATAATAATTAATTTATGCTGCTTTTATTTCGTAGCCTTTATTCCTTCTGTTTGTCACTTTTTGATATTGTTAAAAATATTCTACTAATAACATATGATATTTGTTCATAAATATAAATTATTGACATATTATTATTTAAAAATATTCATTTTGCTGCAATAAAATATTAATTGCAATAAAAATATAGAAATATGACTTAAATACATTAACATTTAAGTGTATTTTCGACTTGTATTTAGATTTCCTTCGAAATTAATAATTTAATATAGATTTTTTTAATATAGTTTCTGACTTTCGCCTTTCAAATTTTATAAATTTATTTTATTAAATCTAGATTCTTTTGTTATAATTTTTGACATTACTATATTCGTGCTCCAGCGAATAATATTTTGAATACTCTACAAACCATGCACACCTACATACCATTCGATGTCACTGAAACCACTCATTAAACTCATTGATAGAAATAGAAATATATATATTTTTAGTATGAATACACATATATCAATAACATAAGATTCTTCACAACAACAAAAAAAATAACATAAATTTTTGAACGGAAAGGATAAAAATAAAATTTTAAAATAGATATCATCAGTAAATAGGGATGGCAAACGAGCGGGGTGGGTGCGAATACCACTTCTCCCATCCTTATACCCACCTAATATTTTCGTATCTACCACCTACCCACCACCTACCCACCACCTACCCATCCTTATACCCACCTAATATTTTCGTATCTACCCGCCTACGTGAAACCTTGTGACCATTGATAAAATGATATGTGACACTTTAATTTTTTTTTAAATATAACTCATTTCCCCCTTATTTTGACAAAAAAACATAGAACATACTTATGTAAGTATGTGTTATATTATTTTGTCAAAATAAGGAGGAAATGAGTTTTTTTTAAAATAAAAAAAATTAAATATATTTTTATAAAGTAACATGTGTCATTTTTGTCAGTGGTCAAAGGGTTCCATGTCACTTTTCATGACGAAAGTGGGTGAACCCGTTAACGGAAGAAAACACCATGTATGAAATCGAGAATTTTAAAATATTATGTATGAAACTGAAAATTTTATATTTCATGTATGAATGGGTAATTAACTCAATTCATAATGGCTAATTGCAATTAAAAATTATAGAAATTTGACATATATACACTATTTGTCAAATATATTTTCCATTTGTATTTCTTTTGAGATAATATCCCCCATTTATTCGAAATTCGATCGAACTCGGGTTTAGAGTATTTTCACCCGACCCGAAATTCAAATTATTTTTTGAGATAAAATTTCACACTTGACTCAACCCAACAATATATAAGGGTATATATATATAAATATAATCTAAATTTTATTTGATAAAATATGGATCTAATTGAAAAAATAATATATAGAAATATATTATTTTAATTATTCTTAAATATATAAGGTATAATTATAGTATTTCTTAGGTTGAGTCATGTCAGATATTTTTCATCTTAACCCGAACATATAATCTAAAAGCTCTTATCCGAATCTGATTTTTTTTAAACTCGATCCTTACATCGAAATTCGAGTCTTGATTTCAGAATATAAATAGTGACATAAATATATGTTTTAGCGACAATATTTTAGATGCCACAAATAAACAAGTTTGTTGTATATGGTAATGATAATTTTAATGAAAATTCTTTTGTTCCAATGAAGTGGTTCCCCAATGATAGTCCTACTCATCTTGATTTCCCAGAATATCTCTTGTTACTCCTCATCACTTGGTTCTTCCGCCCTTCCCGTGGTAAAGCTACTCATATGTGCTTTTACTACTATTGGTGGTTTTATCACATTAAGAATAACATCCGTCCTAACTTTGCCAAGATAATATTTTTAGTCCTTGTTGATGTTGTTGATCATAAAGGGGACAATTGCACTAAAACACTTCCCTATGCTTGTATTCTTAGCTACAAATTTAGAGATAAACTTAGAGTGTCTACCGCCCTTGGCCCTCTTATTCCCCTCGTTTGTGTCATCGATCTTAAATCGACCCACAAGGCAATTAGGACTTTGATGACATGATCAGTGAGTGGCATCCTTTTAGAAGAAACTTGGACGACATCGAAGAGGAAGAGAACACAATGGAAGAGAAACCGGTGCCCCCACCTCAAGGGGATATATCGATGAAGACCATGTATGATTATATGATTCAAAACTTCAAAAAATATAAGTGCTCATATAGCTACTATTGATCATTATTGGGACTCGTTTGAGTCTTCCATGGATCATCGCTTGGACGTGCTTGAGAATGGCGTTCGCTTGATACGTCATCACTTGATGCTTCCCTCTCCTTTGCCACCTCCAGAAGAATATGCATTTTTATGATATTTTAGGACATTTTGTTTTGGATTTATGCACTTTACGACTTATTTTGGAACTCTATGTTATCTTCTGTTTTATACTTTCATATGTTGGTACTTTATGGATTTGAACTATTGATGTTGATCTTATGAACTTGTTAAGCATAATTTGATCTTTTCTTTTCGCTAAATCTTTCATGTTGATATTATTCTTTAGAACTTGATTATTTTATGTTAAGCATGATTTGACTTTGGAATATTTTATGTTGAATATTTGAGTTACCTATTACACTAACATATTTTCTCTTTTGAAGCTTAATTTGATTTTGCTATAACAAAAAGGGGGAGAAATATGTGTAAGTGTAAATTTGCTAGCCAAAAATCATTTAGTTAAAAATTATTTTTATAAGGGGGAGATTTTATTTTTCACAAATTATGAAAAATCATTTTAAAGCAAATTTACACAAAGGGTTTTGTTATATAAAAAAAAGATTGTTGAACTAAGTTTTGATTTTGATATAATATGATTATTTTTAATGTTTTAAGTTGTTAAAATTTGCATTCCACAATTTTTATAAACAATTTGTTATAAACAATTTTAAAATATTTTTAAGTGTGAAAAATAATCCCAAGTGTTTTTGTGTTAATCCACATTTTATAAACATTATTTTAAGGCTCAAAACACTTATTTTTTTCCAATTTCACTGTCAGTCTCGAGATCACTAAGGCATTGCCAAATCTTTTGTAACACACTTGTGAGCTGCATTGTTAATTTGTACAAACACATTTGCCTTTGTGAGGTTTTTCTTTTGTTGGCTAAATTTGTAATTTCTCTTTAGGAGAGTGTGTAAGCAAGGTTTTGGGGCATAAACCTTGTATGTCTTTGTAAGGTTACACCATATCCTTAAAGGTTTGCAAATCTAATGGATTTGAGAAATCCTTAGTGTGGATAGATAAAGGTAGTGGATGTAGACTTAGTTTAGAAGTCGAACCACTCTAAATTGTTGTACAAAGTTTTTTATTTTTCGATTGCTTTTACCAAAATTTTTAAAAGGCCAATTTACCCCCTCTTGACATATTTTGATTGTTTTTTTGTAAGAGCTAACACAAATACTAGTTTAATGCTACCTTAGACTATTAAAAAATTAATTTAATGCTCTTGTATATATTCAAGATAATTTCCATGCTAGTTTAAGATATTATAGTAATTATATTTTAATTAATTTATTAAATAATAATCAATTAAATTAACCTGAAAATGATGAATTAAATAAAAAATAATGTAGTTTAATGAACTTATATTAATAGGATAATGTTCTAGCAAAATCATGCATTTAATGCTCGTGTAATAATTATTTAGGTTTTTAGGGTGACTAAAAAATTAATTACCAATCTATGACATTTATTATAGTGTCTTAAAACTCATCATGTGGGCATGAAGAGTTCCAATAAAATATATTTTCTCTTAGAATTTGTTACCTGGATGTGACAAATTTTAATAAAAAATTATAATTTTTCGGAACTTGTCAATCGTCATGCCCACATGATGAGTTTGAATTAAAAAAAAATTCGAAACTCGTCACCTCCACATGACTAGTTCATCCTTCACTGTACTAAATGCTGTAAGTCCCAAAATAAACTTTGAACTACCTTATTTGGCTAATAAATATACTTGCCATCATTATTGGGCTAAAAAAAACCTAATTTTCCTATCAATTTAATATAGTTAAAAAATTAAATATAAATGAAATACTAGGCAAAAGAGTGATGAAAAATAACAATCCAAAGCATAATCTTATATTTCTTATTTTATATAAAATCTTGTTATGCATGAAAAGGAAAGTAAATAATTTATAAATTATGATAGCATTTTTTTTTTCTTTTTCTTTTCTATCTTTTACCTGTAAAGGTTATAAGCCTCGAGATTGAAGGAAAAAAAATCTTAAGATGCTTAAATTAAAAAATAAAAGTTATATTTATCTTTTGCTTTTTTTCTTACTCAAAAAGATTATAAATTCTAAAAGAATACATTTTCTAAAGGCAAGAAACTTATGGAGCACACTCATTTTTCAATTATTAAATTAATAAAAAAAATTGAATTGAGTCTATTTATTTAAATAATTAAAAGTGTATTTGTGTATAATGCATTTATGAAGATGTTCTTTTTTAATAATAAAATGGTAATTGCAATTAAAAATTATAGAAATTTGACACATATATACACTATTCGTCAAATATATTTGCCATTTGTATTTCTTTTGAGATAATATCCACCATTTATTCGAAACTCGATCGGACTCGGGTTTAGAGTATTTTCACCCGACCCAAAATCCAACTTGTTTTTTGAGATAAAATCTCACACTTGACTTGACTCAACCCAACAATATATATATATTATCTTAACCCGAACTTGACCGGATCCTAACTCATAATCTAAAAGCTCAGACTCGAATCTAATTTTTTTTTTAAAAACTCGATCCTTACATCGAAATTAGAGTATTGTACCCATCCCTATTTTCTATTATGGTTCTATTAGAGTATATGTCTTTTTTTTTCTTCATTTTATTGAATAGATTTATGCATATTTTACAAATAATATTACTCTAGTTTGGGTCACCGATAAAGAATATATCGACATACGCCATTGAAATCATTCTTTAAATTCGTATATAATTACTTTTAAAAATGATGTTTAATAGGTGTACGAAAGTTTGAATATTTGTATCATCTTCTACCATACTCTTCTCAACCCTCAAGATAGAATTTACTTTGTAAAAGAAAAAAGAAAAAAAGAAAAAAAATTACAATGTCTTGTTTTTGAAATGTAAAGAAAAGGAAAGTTAAAAAGAAATAGGGTAAATTATACGGGTGACCACTCAATTATGGTCAAAATTATTTTGACCATCGATGTTTTAATTTGATCAAACAGACCAACCAACTATTTAAATGGTTTAATTAAACCACATACCGTTAACTTTTAACTGTGGAGGTGACATGAGAGTAAAAATTTAACCGAGGGAATGACTCATCAGTTAACTTTTTGGTATAATTATATATTTGATCATTGTTACTTACGTAAAATGTCAATTTGATCCTAATTTTAATTAAATTCAATAAATTTAATTCTCTAATAAATTGTGACAAGTGTCAGTTTATAATTGGAAGCTAAATTTACTTTAATTTATTAGATTTATTTTCCTCCAATCAAAGGGCGACTCTTGGAAGTAAAAAATCAACGCTACAAAAAAAAGGAAAAAAGGTTAAGAGGAATTGAACCCAGGACCATTCGGTGGCATAGCAACAACCAAACCACTGAAACAATGAAGCAATCTAATATGTTATGGACAACAAATATATATATGTATTGTATTATAGTATGTAAATGATTTCAAAATTAATAATATTTTATATATCTTTTTTTAGCTTATTAAATATATATTATTTTATTTTAATGTAAAAATATATATTTTATCTTTATCATCACTTAAAATAATATTATTTAAAATATTTTAACTTAAAAATATATTTAAATATTTTATTATTAATTTAATATAAAAATATATTTTATTCTTATCTTCACTTAAAAATATATTCTATTCTTATTTTAAATTAAAAATATATTTTATTCTTATCTTATTTAAAAATCTTAACTTAAAACATATTTTGAATATTTTAAGTGATGATAAATATAAAATATATTTTTACATTGAAATAAAATTATAATATATTTAATAAGCTCCAACAAAAATAAAAATAAAAAATAAAATTAGCCTTCCAGTTAGAGATTGACATGTCTCACTATTTAATTAGACGATTAAATTTATTGAATTTAACTAAAATTAGGATCAAATTGGCATCTTGTGTAAGTATCAAGGGCCAAGTATATAATTATACCAAAATGTTAATTGAGGAGTCATTCTCTCGGTTAAATTTTAACTGCCACGTCACCTCCACCGTTAAAAGTTAACGGCCATTGGCTTGGTTGAACCATTTATATAGTTGGAAGATCTGTTTGATCAAATTGAAACATCGATGGTCAAAATGATTTTTAACCACTGTCGAGTGGTCACCCGTGTAGTTTACCCAAAGAAATATTACAAGAATCTTACTTTATTTTCTTTAAGAATAGCTTATGTTTAATTAGTTATTTAAATAAAAATGTATCAATTTCAAGATATTAATAGTACGACTGTTTTCTACTTTATATAAAATCTCGTTATGCATGAAGATGTAGTAAAGAATATACAAATTATGAGAGCATTTCCATCAATTAAATAAAGATGGTCTTTGGTCTTTATTTATTTTTCTTTGAAAAGAAGTAAAGCATACAAATATCCCATTTCCACATCAAGCTCATCCAATGTAGTATAAATTTCGAATCATATGGCTTCAAACTTGCACATCATTCTGCTGCTAATTAACACCACAAAACTTTCATAAAAACGAGAGAGAAAACGGAGTTATGGCGCTTCAACATTTCAGCCACAGACATCCACTTGTGTTCGTCGAAAAGAAGAGCCCTGAAAGTGAGAAGGCTTACTGCTCGGCATGTGGGGAGCTGATTTCTGGACCCAGCTTCAGCTGTGCCGACTGCGGGTTTTGCCTTGACAAGATGTGCGCCGAGGCTCCAGCTAAGGTGAATCACCCTCTTCATCGAGAACACAGCCTTCAACTTCGTGTAAGTCTACCATATAGATCTTTCTGTGGTCTTTGTGAAAAAATATTGGACAAGTTTGCTTATCGTAATCGTGTACTTGACCTTCATATCAAATGTGCATTGCTTTCCAAAAGCATTGCTGAAAAGGGTTTTGGAATGCTTGAAGATGTTCCCCAGAAAGATGCATTGGTCTCCGTTGAAAACTTTCCAGAAAAGGCGAATGATGCTCTGTGTTGTGCATGTAGCAAGTGGTCATTGGATTCTGCATACTTTGATCTTGGAAATGGAATTCTCCTCCATAAGAAATGCCTTGATTTGCCTCTTGAAATCAACCATTTTCTCCATACCCAACATTCTCTAATTTTGCAGTTCAATACTGAATATCTCCCTTGTCAAATATGCCGAAGTATCCGAGGCCTGAGATTTGTTTATTGTTGTTCACCTTGCAAATTTGCGGTTCATATATCATGTATTGAGCTACCAACGAAAATCAACCACCTTTGCCACCGCAACCATCCTCTCTTTCTGCAATCCAATTCAGAATCTCTCCCCTGTAAAATCTGTCAAAAAACCCAAGATCAAGGATTTGTTTATTCTTGTTCCACGTGCAAGATTTCGCTTCATGTTAATTGCGCAACCCCACCAGCTATTGTGAAAGGTGAAATCCATGAACACCCATTCACCTTGTTTTGGAAGCGAGTCCCATTCATTTGCGATGCATGCGGCACAGAGGGGATATGTGCTTCTTATACTTGTTCTAAATGCAGTCTTACAGTCCACAAAGGTTGCATTTCACTGCCACGCATCCTCAGGTTTCCACGACATCGCCATCGGCTTTCCCACACCTTCGTCCTTGGGCAACATGAGATTAAAACACGGAAATGCGAAGCTTGCCCTGAAGAGGTAAATGCTGAGCATGGGGTTTATTGTTGCGATGAATGCGATTATATAGTCCATGCGAATTGTGCAAAACAATATAGTTGGTTCAGCTTTGATGAGTCGGAAGACGCAGATGAGCAACTTAAAGCTAAGTCAGCCTTTGTTGTTATCAAGGAGACTGAACTTGGAGAGGACACTGCAGTAGCTTCGGAGATAAAACATACAAGACATCAGCATAACTTGGTTTTGAGCGATGATTCCGAGGGTGATAAAGTTTGTGACGGTTGCATTTCATCCATCTCAACTTCATTTTACTATTGTTCACAATGTGATTTCTATTTTCATAGATCGTGCGCCGAATCACCGTTGAAGAAGTACCTTTGGTTTCATTTTCACCAACGTCCCCTTATCTTGACTTTAGCAGGTCGTGTTTTTCGGTGTCGACAATGCCGGTATCAGTTCTATTCTGGCTTTGCCTACAAATGCAGAATGTGTGATGAAGATTATTCTTATTTCTGCCTTGCATGTGCTCTAGTTTCTGATACTCCCACATTGCCAGGGCACGAACACCGCCTTTCCTATTACGAATCCAAAAGAGGGCTGTGCAGTGGATGTGGAGATCAGTTAGATGGCGCATTTACATGCAGAGATTGTAATTTCGCTGTGGATTGGAAGTGCCTCAGGCTTCCCAACAATATTTTACACAGGTGCGATGATCATCCTCTCATCCTCACCTATCACGAGGATAATCTTTATTCGAAATACAACTACTGCGACGTATGCGAAAGGCGTAAAGAATATACGAACCAGTCGTTTTACCACTGTGCAATGTGTAGAACTTCCGCTCATCGCCAGTGCGCCGTGAAGGAGTACACATTTATGAAGCTGGGGGGTTCCTATAGATTGAGGAATCATCCACACTCAGTCACTTTCACCCGCAGTATCTCTACATGTCATATGTGTCATCAACCTTGCCTTGATCTGTCTCTTGAGTGTTTACACAATGGATGCGACTACATTGTTCACTGGGATTGTATAACATCTTCACTGCAGATTCATTCTTGGGATTCCTCTTACATAAGGCGGGAAGATGCAGGAACTTCATGATCCATTTATGTATTTGTGTGTCTTTTTATGATGCTTTCTTGTAAAATGAGTTGAGTGTTGTTCCAAGGTTTCCTTGTCTGGTTATTGAAGTTCATGTCTGTATTGGTGTGTTTTTCCAGGACTTTTCTTGTAAAATTACAGTGTGGATTGTGATGATATTTGTGCGAAATTTTCGATCAGTTGAACTATTGCTCTCTTATCATTTTGCAGTCATTTATTTTTGGGTAAAGTACACTAATGATCCCCAACTATAGGATACTGCTTTATTAAGTCTTTTAACTATTAAAAGTTACAAAATAATCCTTCAATTATAGAATGTCGCTTTATTAAGACAATCGACTATTAAAAGTTACAAAATGATCATCGACTATTCATTATGTTCCAAGCTCATGCTCGTTAAGAAAACTTGTTACTCATTAAGCTTGTTATTCGCAGGGTCGTGGCTAGGTTGTTGGAGGCCCTGTGAAAATTCTTATAAAGAGGCCCCTATTTTCTAAATATACTCAATTTCGAAGCCCCTATTTTTATGCTTCTTAATGGCAACAACTGATAGATATACTCGATTTCGGGCCCCCTATTTTTATGCTTCTTAATGGCAACAACTGATAGATATACTCTATTTTGGGGCCCCTATTTTTTGGGGCCCTACGCCATCGCGCACTTTGAACACCCTCAGCCACGCCCCTGGTTATTTGTTAAGTTCGATACTCATTGCTCGTCTCGTTGTTCGTTAAGCTCACCGAAATTTTTTACATTATTTTCTTAACTATAGGTAAAATCTACTAATACTATATAGAACTTAATATAAACGTAAATTAATAAATTTAACCAAAAATTTTATTAAAAGAGTGTATGAAATAATTTTAAAGTCTAAACTCCAAAAGTAACAATCCACAAATACATTAAAATAATAAATAAAGTTTGATTTTTTAGTGTATGAAATAATCTTTTAAGATAACTACTACAAAATTATATATAAAAAATAAAAGAATTGTTTGCGAACTTATCGAGTCGAGTTGGACTTTGCTCGACTCAACTCGTTAAGGTCTCGAGTTCGAGTCAACCCAAATCAAGTTTTTACCAAACTTTGACCGATTCGAATTCAAACTGCTCACGAAGGAACAAGGTCTTTAAATATAAAAGTGACTTTAATTATATATTAAGACTACTAACTTACAAGAAACAACTTGTGGCTGTAGTTTAGTGGTAAGAATTCCACGTTGTGGCCGTGGAGACCTGGGCTCGAATCCCAGCAGCCACAAATTTTAACAGTTTCTTTACCTTTTTGGTCGATTAAAACGCCGTCGTTGAATGTTCAATTCAAAGTCTTCAAAGTCAATAAATAGGGCTCTTCCACACTCGTTTTCTTTCTTGTTTTACTCGTTCTTTCAGAGATCTGCTCGTTGCTTCGGTTCTTTGGCTTTGCCTCGATTCGTGAAGGTACACCATTTCGTATTCATTCCGTTCCTTTTCTTTTACCTTTGTTTCATTCTCTCGTTGATCACCGTCGCAACATATCACGACCTTTAATCATATCATCGTTTTATTTTTTTCATTCACAGTCCAGAAGTAGATTTAGTTTCTTTGTTTTGCGTGTTATTTCGGTTCTTCTGCTCGAAAACTCCAGTTTTCCGGTTCTCGAATAGTTCGTTATAGCGATTTTAGTTATATAAGCTGAAAGCTAAATGATTTCTGGTGATAAATGATCGCATGGACTCTGGATCTTGAGTTTGAACGGATTATGTTTCAAATTCATCGTTTGTTGTAATATAGGAAAATATTTTATTCTTTTTCATTTTAATTTCAAAGCCTGTGTATTGTGTTTTCACAATTCATATCATAAATGAAATCCAGTGTTTCAAATTCTAGCAAAACATTGCTTTACAGATTTCTGCTATGTTGCTTAGAATTTCATTTCTTTTTACCATGTTTGATTCAAGTTTGGACAAGGTATTGAACATGTATTCGATACTCATACAAAGGGTATATCCTTATATCTGACACACACAGAGAATAATGTAGACATTTGGAATTTCGAAACTTCCCTTGAGATTAGGGATTCATCAGCAATATTTGTATCGAACACGTATTTGATACTCACACATAGAGTATATTCTTATATCGGACACTCACATCGAATATTCTAGACATTTGGAACTTTGGAACTTCCTTTGAGATGAGGGATTCATCGGCAATATTTGTGATTTGGCTATTGATTTCCATTTTTGCTTGTTTGCTGTGATTCTTTACCCCTTGCTAAAGTATATGGTTGGGAGCATACTCAGACAAGGTTATGGGATATGATATTCTAGATACATGAACATGTTTTCAAAAAAAATAAATAAATGAATATACTCGTATCGGACATATTCGTGTATCCGATATTTATAACGAGTAATGTATAATACTCGCACGAAATAACATAGATATTGTAATTTTTGTGATTTTGGCTACTGATTTGAGGTGATTTTTTTGAGATGATGCAGATGATTGATGATGAACAGCTGGGATTTCTTGCAAATTTTCTAGGAATTTTTATATTTGCGCTGGTAATCGCTTACCATTATGTGATGGCTGACCCAAAGTATGAAGGAAACTGAGAAAAGGGTATGCAGAAAAAACTAAGTCATGCTACTTTTAGATAAGATCTTACAGATTTTACTTCTACTGTGGTACTAAATCTTGGCATTTAATCTTTTTTCTAAAGAATTTTGGCATGTTACCATTGTTCTCCACAACTTATAGATTTGCTGCTTATAATTATTTCCAATGGCCAATCTTGATAGGAGCCGGGGGAAGCCTTAGATTTATTGGTAAACAAAATTTGATTCGAAAAATCATCTCGATTCGACTCAGTGAAATCTCGACTCGGAAAAGATTTCAGATAAATTTTGAAGGATAAAGTATGTCTAGTCAATTCTATTAGTACTAAATTGTTTTAATTTGATTTAAATCGATTTGAATGAATATTCACCTATAATTCTTCTTACCCTCTAATTTTACCTTTTTAAGCTCATTTTTATCATATTTGAATCACAAAAGTCTCTGCCACTATATGATATCTATGTAAATTCAATTTTCAACTTTTATATCCTCTCAATTTTTTATTTCGAAAAATACCTTTTCAGAAATAAATTTTAAATATATTTTATAATTTTAGGCAATATGAGGAATATATATATATATATATATATATATAGTTAGAGAATTTAGTTATATTAGAATCAATTTATGTCATAATTTTATATATAATTATAACTAAATTTGAACAGAAACTAGAACAACTCGATTTGAATTTTATAAATTTGACATGAAAAAAAAACTAAATAAAATTTGAATGATAATTATGACTCATCAACTTGATTAATTCGAGATATTTTGATTTGATTCGACTCGATTGAATATTCACCCTTACTTGAATGTTTCAAAAAGTTGGATATTTGCTTTAATGATCCCCGAAAACTTAAAACATTTTCCTTCACATGTGTAATGGCCCCGCAAATTTTGGAACTAAAAAAGAAAAGAAACTAGAGAATGCGATCAAGATGGATCGAGGACAAAGGTAATAATACTAAGATTTTCATGATGGACTGGCAATCTGTAATTAGGATTTTCGAAGCTAAGATCAAACATTGTTCGATTTGACTCGAAAACCCGTGAGCTTAAAAATTATTTGAACTTGAAATCATGAACTGAAGCTCGTAAAAGCTCGAAAAAGAAAAAAATATCTTAAACTTAACTCGATTAAAGCCTTAAACTCAAACTCGAATTTAAACCTTATAATGCATTTTTAAAAAAAATCACACGTAAATGTTAATGATATTAATAGTTTATTTTTTTAAAAAATCTTAATATATTATATTTTTGAGTTGCTCACGATATTTTCGAGTCGAGTATCAAGTCGTTCGTTTCGGCTCATTAAGAACTCTAGTCGAGTACTTATCGAGTCAATCTCAAGTAGATCGCGATCTATCTCATCTTTTTTAATTGCCACAGAATTAGCAATGTGCAGTACGATTTGATTTTTATGGTTGAAGGTCAACCCCGTTTCCCCCATATCATCCACACAACGTATCTATGTCTCTATCTCTGTGTATATTTAACACAGAAACAAAGAAAAGAAAGCTGAGAGGTAAGAAAATGGTGGGTAGCAAAGACAGTCGATGGAGTCTTCACGGCATGACGGCACTCGTCACCGGCGGAACCAAAGGGATCGGGTAAATCTCTTGACTTAGTTATCAAATATAATTTCGCCGTGATCATTATGTAACAGTTCAATAAATTTAATGATCATTTTATAATTTTGTATAAGTCCAATGATAAACTCAACTATTGCAATTCGAACAGGCATGCAATTGTGGAGGAATTAGCAGGACTCGGAGCAAGCGTACACACATGCTCTCGAACCGAATCCGAGCTTGACGATTGCTTACTCGAATGGAAAGCAAAAGGTCTCCGTGTGACAGGTTCAGTGTGTGATGTTTCAGATGGAGCACAAAGGGAATCCCTATTGAACACTGTTTCCTCCGAGTTCAATGGGAAGCTCAACATCCTGGTAAAAAAAATATACTACAAATCTGAACCAAAATCCGAAACGATACACCGAAACATATCGATGAACACTATGTAAATTCTGCAGATAAATAATGTCGGAACGAACATACTGAAAATGGTGTCGGATTACACAGCGGAAGACGTTGCGTTCCTAACGAGTACCAACTTCGAATCGGCTTATAACATCAGCGTACTAGCTTATCCTCTTTTGAAAGCTTCAGCAGCCGGAAGCATCGTGTTCATCTCTTCAATCGCTTCTACCATGCCTGCATATCTTGCACCTATATATGGAGCCAACAAAGGTATTATTTCGCTTCAGAACTCGATTATCCATGTATATATTCGTGTTATAATCGTATTTGAGATGTTATAATCGTGTTGCAGTTCGTGTATTTTATATATGTATAAATGTTAACCTGGTAAGAATGGTTTGATTTTGTTGCAGGGGCCTTGGACCAACTTGCTAGATACTTGGCATATGATTGGGCAGGAGATAATATCAGGGTCAATACTGTTGCACCTGCCGTGATCAAAACTCCACTTGCTCAACGTGTAAAACTTTTTTCGAACTCGATTCTTATATCCAAATTCAATCTCGATAATTTATATTCGAGATCGAGTACAAATATTCTTATGTTTAATTTTTTTTTTAGTCGAACTCGAATATCTTTTATGGTTTGGGTTACCCACATAGGACTCGGCATTTAGCATGATCATGATTTCACTTCTATCATACAGTACTTTTTCTTTTGGCAGTCCTTTGAAGGTCGTAAAGAAAAAATAGAGACAACCATATGTCGAACACCGATAGGGCGGCTAGGGGAGCCGGAGGAAGTATCGGCGATGGTGGCGTTCCTCTGCCTACCGGCGGCTTCATATGTAACAGGGCAGCTTATAAATGTTGATGGAGGAATGACGACGAATGGCATCTACTTTCCACAAAATAAAAGAAGCAACACAGCCGTGAGTGGAGAGACAGCTCGAGCTTGAATGTAGTTGGCAAATTGTGATGGTTATAGATCTGGCGGTACTGATTGTTTTGATTTCATTGTTCTTTATGTTGCTGGGATTGCTAATGAATTTGGACAAGCAAGTAATGACGTTGTTACGTGTGCTTTTGCTTTAACTTTGAATGAAAATCTTGATTCGAATAATAGACATTCGAATGAAAAATCGAATGGATCGATAACGTACATGATCAAACGCACTTAAATTTTAAATCGGTGATCAAATTCAGTCAAGCCGAAAATAAAAATAACTATTCGTATACTTCACTTTTATAATTAAAAATGAACATAAATTTGACCAACTCGATTCAAAAGAATTTTAAATGAAGTTTGAATTGTAAAATATGATTTGTTAAATTGACTAAATCGAATTTTTTTTACTCGACTCGATCGAATATCTACTCTTACTTACCTCCTCAAAAATATGGATATTTGCTTTAATGGTCCCCAATAGTTTAAAATTCTTTCCTTCGTGTGTATATGTAATCCCCCCCCCACCCCACCCACCCACCCAAAAATAAACTATTTGGAGATTTTCTAATTAAAAAAATAAAATTTTGTAATGGAGTGGCAATGTATTTAGGATTTTCGATAAAGTAAGATCAAGCATATCATCCACATAACATGTCTACGTTTGTCTCTCTCTGTGTATATTCAGAGAGAAACAAAGCTGAGAGGTAATAAAATAGAACTTTGAGAAGACTGTCGGTGGAGTCTTCACGGCAGGACGGCACTCGTCACCGGCGTAACCAAAGGGATCGGGTAAATGTCTCCCGTTTATTATCATTATTATGCGATGATAGTCATTTTATAACAATTTAATAATAATCATTTTGTAACTTTTAAAACTTCAATCACCGGAAAAAAATATTTGAACTTGTAACATCCTACATCAGTACGACACACACAGTCGCCCGATGAGAGTGTCACACGGAATTACCATAGTGGATAACCAAAAATTTTCTTAAACATGCTCGATTAAATAAACAATCTTTTTCAAATACTTGTAATAAAATAAACAATAATATTCATACAAAATGGTTTACAGTCGGGAGCTGTAACACCTCAACTCGTATCCGATCCGAATACAAGTCTGAGATGTCACATTGACTTTTTGAAACCATATTATTGTAAAATAGCAAAACATTTGAACTTATATTAAGAAAATACGTTCATTTATTGTTCAATTGTGTTTGTTATAAAATTTTGAGTGCAAAATGTATTTATGAACAGTAAAATACGGCCTGCTACAGTACCAAATGTAACCCCCCAAGACCCGGTCTGTGAGTTAGACCCAAACCTAAGTGGTCACATATCCCATTCAGAGGTTTTTTTTTTTGTATATATATATAACTTATAGAACGTTAAATATAATATAGAACATAATATTAATAATACAAATATGTCCAAAACAATAATAAAATACATGTCACCAAACATAACCGAAAAACATACAGAAATATATGTTCGTACAAAATAAAGTAGTTGATTTCTCCTGATGCCAAATCTGCTAGCTTACGGTCTGCTGTTATCTGAAAAATGTTAAAATTTACAGAATGAGCTAAAAAGCCCAGTGTGTTCCATACAGCGTACAAAAACATATTAATAAGATATTATCAATAAAAATCGATTTATGCAACATGTTTTTTTTAAATATGAACACTACCCCCATCCGTCACGAACAAATTGTGTAGGTTCCCATAACCATACACCCCGTCACGACCAGTAAGGCCCTGAGCACAAAGCCGAGGAGCCTGCAATATTTTCTTCCTCCAACAATTCTTTCCTCCCCAATGACATTAATAAACAAATATGTATTCGAGTAAAAATGGTGATTAATCCATTAAAACATGAAAATGGATCATGCTTGAAAATCATATACAGAAATACGGTAATCAGATGTCGGTAACCATTATTCAGAAATCAGATATCATGTATCATGTCATAACAATATTTTGAATAATCACCATTCTGGAATAATTCAAATAATATTTAAAACAGTAAACAACACTGTCAGGAAACACACCTGTCACACTCTGAGAAATCGGATAGGGAATCCTACTATTGGGTTTGTCGATCACGTTCTGCTGCAGCGCTAGATCCTACGAATTAGAAAAAAAAATCCATATTGGAATCCTAATATAAATAATCTAAATATTATTTAAATAATATACGGAAACCTACTGGTAATTCTCGTAGTACGCGGTTCAGGCTGATCTAACGAACGGATAATACCGGACCTAATTGATCCTTGCTCAGGTGAAACACGAGTACCTTCATAAAATATTTTATTGAGTAAATCCTTGACCAAATCTCATTTAAATAATCAAAATATTAAAATATTAAGCCTTTTGGGTTTACAAGCTCGATTCGGGAATTTCGGATCAGAATTTGGCAAAACGGACTTCGAAATCAAATTCAGGACGTCGAAAAACATAAAGTATGACCTTCCGAAATTTCGAATTCTTGGTCAAAAATAAAGTCAACGGGTTTGACTGACGATTTGGAGACTTTCGGGTTTGAATTTAGTAAAACGGACCCCATAAACGGATTCGGGACGTCGAAAACTATCAGGATAGGTATTTGTGGACGAAAACAAAGGTCGTTTAATAGCCGGTCAAAGCCGGTCAAAGTTCTGGTCAAAGGAGGTCAACAAACTGTCAAACATTTTACACAAATAGCACCCTTTTTAAAAAAATTTACCAAAATAGCACCCATTTCGAATTAATTCTCATAATAGCACCAAAACCGAATTAATTCCCATAATAGCACCGGTCAACGGTCAACGGGTCGGGTCGGGTCAACGGGTCGGGTCGGGTCAACGGGTCGGGTCAACGGGTCGTGACCGGTCAAACCGGTCAAAACCGGTTCAAAACCGGTTAAACCGGTCAAAACCGGTTTCCAGCGTTCACTCGCCTGCGGCGGCGCGTGTGGGCGCGTGCGACGTCCTCCGGGGCTCTAAAAATCACGGAAAATTTTCTAAAAATTATTTTGAGCGATTTCGAGATACTTACAAAGATCGGTTCAAATTTTTGAACGGCGGAGAGCTCGATTTCGACTCGGCCGAATCTTTGACTGATCCACCTCCCCACGCGCCGCCGTCAACGGAGATCGAGGATGACACCGGCGGACTCGGAACGGCACAAGGAACACGATGGTGCGGGAGGTGTCGTAAAAGGAGCAACGATCGACGATGAATTTAGGATTTTCTAGGCGATTGAGCTTAAAAAAAACGTCGATGCTTTGACTTGAAATTCACGACGTTTGGCAGCGTTTCGCTTCAATTAAATTGAGGGGATTGTTCCTGACTCGATAACGAACACGATGGTACTTTCAAAACGACAATCGGAATTCGGACGGTGTCAGAATCGTCGTCGGAAGTTGAGGTGCGTGGGGTAAAAACTTAACAAATTGTTCTGTTATGAAACCAGAATCAATTTGCACGCATATAAGAAAAAAAATCTGCCGACACTCCTTGGAAATATTCAGTGATTGGTCATTGAATTTCCTCCACTTTTTAAAATAGGCTACAAGTTTTAAAACTTCCAATTAAATCCTCAAATTTCACCAATTAACTTAATTAAAACCTCAAATTACAATTATATATTTTTTTCCATTTTCCGGGTTGTTACACCAAATGTTAAAATTTTCCATATTTCTGCCAGGGAACGATACCCTGCTACAGTACTGCCGTAAAATACATATAAATTCATAAAAATCTAATCTTTCATCAGTATAAAATTTACCATTTACCTATACACATTTAAAACATTCCAAAATTTAATCATATGATTTTACAAAACCGATTAAAAAATATCGGATTCAAATCTTTACTTACATGTCAACCACTATAAGTATTACAAAATACATACTATTAACTTCTTTTATGATCTGATCTTTGGAAATGAGAAACTGACTTGTCTTGCATAACTTTTTACTTCTCTTTTTCGCTTTCCAAACCTACGTATAAAACAATCACACGCTAAGTCGTAGACTTAGTGAGACATATAAACATATAATGGAAACCATAAAACATTTCATACAACAAAATGTATACATGCACATATACCATCTTTATCAGGATCTCTATCATAATCTTTAACATGCTTATCGGTACTTATATTACTATCACTAATTTCTTTTTATCATATAAGCATATACATCATTTCATAACAGAGCACACATAGTATCACATCAACTGATTTATTTACTCTCTTAAAATCCCATGTATACTTTTGAGAACTTAAGGTATGTGAGTACATTGAGGTTGTGCTCCACTATGATGTCACCACAGCTCGTATAAATATCCCGAATGACCTATCCAAAGGTCATAAAGAACCTCGGCAACTGTCCATAGGTCCCGAAGAACCTAGGTAAACTGTCCATATGTTCCTTAGAACATAGATATAATGTCCATATGTCTCAAAAGACATAGGTAATTCTGTCCATATATCTCGAAAGACATAGGTAATTCTGTCCATATGTCTCGAAAGACATAGGTAATTCTGTCCATATGTTCTGTAGAACATAGGTCTCGACTCTTGGCATGCCAACTATACCACTAGCTCTCATATCACATAACATGGGCATTATCATTTATATCATTTCACATATTCACATGCACATTTCACTTTTCATATGATTTCATAATCATATGTCACTTAGCTTATAACATTTCTCTTGTGTTCATATGACATGTAAATTATTGTCATTTCTTGTTCTCATATGCTTCACATATATCCCATTCATATCATATATTCATATAGGCTCACGGTTTTATCACCTATCATGTCATTTCACATATACACTCATATAATCAAGCATACATACATTTCATGTCATTCATTTCATTATATATATCCTTATCACATAGCTTATTTTATTTCTCATGTTCTCAGGTAAGCACATATACCATGTCTTGTTTACTTATGTTCACATAATCACATCACTTATTCATATCATCTCTCTTTTAATCTCATATTTCTCCTTTTCTGTCACATATCACAAGTGCATATAATCACGTAGTTTACTTTCATGTAATTCATGTCACTTATGTTCACATAGCTCGTATCACTTTGCATGGTTTCACATAAACATATATATATATATATATATATAT